TCCCTCAGAGTAGCATGGGAGTGTCAGGCTTGAGTTTTATACTCAAGTTCCTGGCATGGGACTTGGACACAAAGTCTCATGACTCAGAGGTGAGGGTGCTAGTAGCTGAATTATGGCTAAGACAGAAACTCCACTGCCCCTAATCACAATGAGATTGGAAGACTCTCAAAGCAAAAACTGGTCCATTCAAAAACATTAAAATCCCTCATACCTTGCAAAGCACAGCATCAAAAGTAAGAGGGAAAAAGAATTATGAGTCAGATAAAACACAACGAACACTTTACAAATTTAAGTGCGAAAGCTGACTGAGAATAGAGCTTTGCATTCACTTTATGATGCTTTTTTTTTAAAATTGCAGGTTTTGAAGTTTTTGGCAAATAAAGAAAACACACAGAGAAACATAGAAAAACATACACAACTGAAAGGATTAAACTTTAACAGCCAAATTCTAACTTCTTTCTTGAATGTTATTGTGTAACAAGGATGTTCATACCAAATTTATATCATTAGCAGAATAAAGGGATGAGAGTGTCATAGTGCCATAAGCTAGGAAAATTTAATTTCAATTAATCGACCTCGGATTAAATGCAAACTCAACAACAATGACCATGGTCAGAAAAGCCTGTCTGATTCATTAATACCCATAAGGGGAGAAAATATACTATCCTTACCTGGTCTGGTCTATATGTAACTGCAGATCTACAGCAATGTGAGTGATTATTCATGGCCTCTGAAAAGGCCCCACAAATTGTTACTGAAGAATCAAATAAGAATAGGGAGAATTGCTGCGTTGGAAATGTCATCTCACAGATAAGACATTAAACTGACATACTTTCTGTTATCTGTGGTGAATGTAAAATAACCTGTGAAAGTATTTAGAAGAAAATCATGTTTTCCCCAGCAGAAAACTACATATTCCTCAACCAAACTTGCACTGCTTTCAGTGGGATCTTGCTGTGTATGAAATAGTTCTTACATCTCCTACATTTAAATAATGCTGACACCTCAAGACTATGTCATTAGCTGAAACTGCTTGGGAATGTCCCATCACTTGGATAGACATGTATAAATGCATATTCTTTCTTTTTTCTGTCTACTTTGAGTCTCAGTGTTTGGATTAAATTTCTAAGCTACCTTGGTGTTTTAAGTCCCCTTGTGGCTTTGCTCTGCCCCATCTCTTTAACCTCCTTTAACCTGACATTCCCACAATCAGTTGATGAATATATGAAACAGGAGCAGATGTAGAACTATTGGCCCCTTGAGCCCGTTCTGCTATTCAATGAGATGATAGATGATCTGTTTGTGTTTCAAATTCTGCATTCCTATCTACCCTTGATAATCTTTCATTTCCCTGCCTAACATAAATTTATCTACATATCTTAAAAATATTTAATGATACCACTTCCCTGCCCTCTGAGGCAGAGAGTTCCAAAGTTGAACAAGCCAGTGAGAGAAAAAAATTTCCTCATTTCTGGGCAACCCCTAATTTTAAAATAGTGCTCCTCCAGCTTTAGACTCACCCACAAGAAAAAAACATTCTTTCCTCATTCACCTTGTTGACACTGTTCAGGATCTTATATACTTCCATTAAGTTACTCTTCACTGTTGTAAACTGCAGTGAAGAAAAATCTAAACTGTCCAATCTATCATCATATGACAACCCACTCATAACAGGTATCGATCTAGTAAACTCCTCTGAACGGCCATCAATTCATTTAAAGCCTTCCTTAAATAAGGAGAGCAAAACTGTACACGGTATTCAAGACAACAAGGTGCAGGGCTGGATGAACACAGCAGGCCAAGCAGCATCATAGGAGCAGAGAGGCTGACGTTTCGGGCCT